GATGTCCAATTATATCTGCAGTAAAATGGTACTTAGAAGTAAGTAACATTTCCAGATAAGAACTTCTCATGATATGCTAGAAAAATTCAAAATCAAGATGTTATTAAATACTTCAGCACCAACAAAACAAAGGAACCCAATGAACATGTTGATAAGGTGCCTTCCCAGACTTCTTGTCCTCACATAATTTTAAATGTTTGGGCTTTGTTTTACCCCTGACAGAACTTTACTGTTGCCACATTGTCCTGTCTTTAGCTGTGCAAAATGCCCAGGAGTTTGAGTGCTGTGAAGACTTCCCAGCATAGGCAGAAGCTTCTGAAGGATCCTGTGAATTTTTGAGCACCTGTATGTATGGGTCAAATTCTGATAAACAGCATGGCTGCCAATTGAAACCAGTTGTTTGCAGTTCATTGGAGCAAGTTTAGATTTATATCCTGGGAACTGAGAGTTCATTCTGGGTTGTGAGTTGGAATTGGTTTTCTAGAGCTGTCTGGACCTGAACGCAGATGACATACTTTGTCCCTGCAGAGGCCTCTGGCCAATGGGCACATCCTTCCCTCATCATTCTTTAAAGAGGAGACGGAGATATTGGGTATCTATGCTGCCTTGAGGCTTGGCACATTAATGATGGTGGTGGTCCCCACTAGAGCCTTCCTAGTGGTTGCTCTCAGGGGCAGAGTGATGGAGGCAAACATCAGCATCATGAGTGGTGACTCCAGCTCCTTCATATCTGGATTTTGAATATTCTGGATTGCATTTTAACCTGGACTGCTGACAAGCACCCTAAAACTTAGGCTCTCTGAGCCAAACCAAGTATCTGCAAGTCTAGGAGGGATTGGAAAATCTGGGGTTTGTCTTCTTGTTGTCGCAGTTAGTAGGAAAACTGTCTTGATTTCTGCTGGCTGCAGCATTAGGTGAGTGCCAAGCTCTGCTAAAAAATGGTACACATGTATCACACCTCCACTATCAGAGGCACATGCTGGGTTCCTCTTGCATTGTATTTCATAGTGGTGAGCATACTCAACTTGTTTGGTAAGTAATCTTTACCAGAAGGTGAGCTCCAGAGGTAAGAATACAGGTAGATGAGACGTCATACCTTTCTGAATTGATGGACAGACTGAACACTGAATTTCCCTGGATTAGTGTTACTACAAATTCTGAAAGGACTAACAAGAAACAGGTCCTTACCTGGCATAGGACAGCACAACAGAGGCTGCCTCGTACAGTCTGAAGGATCTGCATGTGAAAGTGTCATGGTGCGCAGTTTATGTGTATTCTGCTGCTATATGTGCCCCAGAGGCTGAGGTCATAGGATAGTGTGGGGAGTGAAGACCTGTTATGAGTTACTGGTGTGTAGGCAGCAAACAGCGTTTCTTGCAAGTGATGGAAACGTGCCTCTGTTGGGAAAGTGAGCCTTTTTGCAGTTGTATCCAAAATTGAAAAATCAAACTGAGGCCTTGTTAGGATTGTTCACATGCCAGGCTGCCATCCTGTTCTAGCTGACTTTCTGCAAGTAAATGGGGTCTTGTGAAGTCACATCCTATTATTTGTTAGCCATGAATCATCATTTGTTTTAACTGGCTAAATTGAGGAGCAAGGTGCAAGGAGAATGACTCTTGTTAGTCAGGGCAGATGGGTTGAAGTAGTGGGTCACTTTTTATCCCTAGCCTCCAAAACTGGCTTGACAGCAAACATCAATCTTATGGATCTTCTTCTTGTGTTCCTGAAGAGAGCCATCTTCCTCTTCCCATTGCAATTTTTGAAATCTTCATTGCTATAAATCCTACAGGCACTGGGTAAGAAAGTTCAATACCTACCAAGTTGCCTGCAATGTAGCAACCAAAGGATAGTCATCTTTATGTCACCTGTGACATGTATTACAGCCGCTATACAAAGCTCCCCCTCTCTTGCATAAGTGGCTAAGGAGAAGCTGGACATCCAACAGAACTATGACAAGAGCACAACAAGAGCAGCTCAGTCCTGTCTTAGGTATCCTTGGACCATTTTCCTACCAAGCTGGTAGTGGAAGTAGGAGACCTACAGGGGTTTGCCATCATTTGAATGCAGCAGTTTGGATAGTGGATAGTGGTCAATATCGTGCTGCTCCTGCACAAAATGACGCACAAATGATGCGTTTGCTGGCAAATGACTGTGGAATGGAGATCAAAGAGCTCTGCTGCCTCTTCTGATGGTCTGCTGGCCTCAGTGGGGACCTTGGTGGTCTCAGCCTGACTGGTTTCTCCAGGTCAGAGCTCAAGATGAGGAGGTGGGCTTAGTTGGCCTAAAAATTGTCTTAAAGAAAGCAGGCTGGTTTCAAAACCCTGCCTCACCGCTCCCTGGGTGATTTGGGCCAGGAGGAAGGAAGGTCGCATGAGGTACTTGGCAGAAGCTGGGAAGTGCATATGGGGGAAGACGCTTTGTTTCTGCCGGCACTGCCTGCTCTGGCAAATGCAGCAGCAGGTAGGGCCCTGACAGGGGGTAAAGGAAGGGCTGCGGCTGTAACCCCTCGACAGGCTTTGTCTGCCATGCAGATTAGGTGGAGGGCTTTTCTGGCTCAGCGTTGCTAGGCTCTTCCCCCCTATTGACTTGGTGGAGAGGCTGAGGGGGGCAGGAGGGAGGGACTGCATTATATTGTTTCTTTGAGTTGGTTGTTTTTTTTCCCCCTCTATGGGGAGATGGGCTTGATCCACTGGTTTTGGATTTCAGAGGCAGAAGGCAAGACATGACCAGCTGGTGTCTTGAAATGGCACAGGTGCAATGGCTGCGGGAGGGGGGAGCCAGGAATAATTACAGGTTTCTGAAGCATCAGGCTTTGCCTGAAAAGGCCTCATCGAGAAACTGCTCTTTATGGAAAATTAATGGTGAAGCTGGAAAAAACTGTCAGGCCCACTATTGTTGTCATGGGGTAGTGATGCCTTAAAGGAGCAGCACCTCCCGCTTGCCTCCCCTCCACAGGCAGCCCGGAGCCAGCGCACAGCCTTCTGATCCCGCAGCAATTGAAATTTCATGTCACTGTCATCAGATTTAATGGCCTTGAGTCCCTGTCTCTTTTGTTTTTTGGGGTTTCCCCCCCTTCTTATCCCTAATTTGTGATTATGCTTGCTCTTTCCCTTGGAAGCCTTTTATTTATTCAGCCCCTAAACCTGTTTCTGCCCCACTGGGTGAAGGCTAAGTGGGCCAGAAAGCCCAAATTACATGACATGGGGAATTCAAAAGCGTCGCCTCTTTTGGTGAGGAGGGTTATACCTGAAAGACTGTGGAGCACATTTGGAGCCCCCAAAACCTGTTAGGATTCATCTGGGGAGAGACCAGATTCCCAGCTAAAGCCATTTCTCACTGTCCTGGAAATGCACTTTAAAAAGAAAATGGAAAGGTTGCTTAAAGCAAGAGTGCTAACTGGTGAGTGTCCCACCTCCAGGTCTGTGTGCAGACACATCACATATACAGTGTCATACCTCTGAAAATAACCTACACGCTGAAGTGTAACATGTCTCTGTTGCCACTTCATCGCTTTTTGTCCAACTCCATCTCTACAGCTCAGGTTTGTAATCAGGTATTATTTTAAAAACAAACAACAGGTAACTGTCTGAAAAATTCAGTTCTGAATTCTGAAAGTCAGCCTAGCAAATTGTATCTGCAACCAGCAGTGCTACATTGAAAGTAATAATTTTGAGTTAAGTGATAGCTCCTAGAGAGCTGTGAGTGGGGCCTCTTTAGACCCCTGTTGATGGGGCCTTTGTAACCAGAAGGCAGGAGTGTCTGTCTCTCCTCCGGTCGTACGAAGCTTTTATTTCTTGATCAGATGCTGGACTCTCCAGGTTGAGATGTAGTTGGGTTGTCAGCTCTCATAGGCTGAAAATTTTTGCCTAAAGTCCCTTTCTTACTATCTCTATTGAGGAGCAGTGTTTAGAGGTTTCTAAAATGTATTAGTTAGAATGTCTCTTTCTCCAAGTCCTGTAAAATTGCAGTGGTGATATTAAACCAGCTAGCCTTTCAGGCAGCAAGAAATGAAAAACAGCACTAATAAACTCCATTAAAAGCTCCTCACACTACAGCAAACAGTTTTCTATAAACAATAAAAGTTTATAATGTTGGTTACGGAGAACACTGGGCAGCATGATTGTGCCTGGAGGCTTTATTGGGGCTAGCTCAGGGCATCTCATAATAAGGTACATTCAAATAGGAGGTTCACCACAGCCTTGTGGTGATCATCACTGCTGTGGACATGCAGGAACATGTTTTTATGTAGCAGCCTCTTTGATTGCATCTTCACCTACTTTTTAATAAGGTGCATGTGTGTGTTTGTGTGCAAGTCCACTGTCCTCTACACAGGAAGCTCCATTTGACCAGATGTGCAAAACCCCTCTAAAACTGACAGTAGGTTCCCTTGTTCTGCTGTTGTCTTTCCTTCTGTCAGGCCCTTCAAACAAGCTGTGGTGTCACTGGAAGTTTGTCTCCTATCTTAAAATGCTACGCTTCAGAATTGTGCTGTTTTAGGAAGAGACTGGGCCCCAGCTAACTATGCTGAGTTAAATTTGGAGTGTAAGTTAACATTTTTGAAGGAAGAGGAAGCAGTTCTTTGGAGGGGTGACTTTTTGTTTGTATGTGGCCAGGCAGTGGGGCCATTAGGATAGTTTCATATGGAAGTGACTGCTGGCCAGATTACACGTAAATTGCGAGGGGGCCAGTATCCATGGGACAATGTGCAGACTTTCATGAAAATGTAGTGGATGCTTTTGGTTATTGTATCTTCACTTCTACCATAATATCCACTACCGTACATGGATATTCTCATACTCTGTCTTGGAGAAGCATCAAACATGTGCCAAATCCTCATGTCTCCCAATATGTGACCACCTCACAAGAAGGTGCTGGTGTGCATGAGTGCTGGCTCTGAAGGACTCTGGATTATGTTGTTCTCCTGCCCTAGGTGGGAGTTACACTGTAATCTCTTTCTAATGGTGGTTTCTCTCCCTCCCCTTTCCCTTCCCCTCCTGCAGACATGCCTGGAGTTGGAGCGATACCTTCAGACTGAACCACGGAAGATCTCTGAGACCTTTGGTGAGGATTTGGACTGCTTCCTTCATGCCTCCTCAGCCCCAGATGCAGAGGACAATATCCGACGGCTGGACCCCATCCTTTTACCAGTGGAAACAAGTACGTGTGACAAAAGCGCCAACATGGACATTATCCTCTCACGGGACAAGCTGCTGTCTGAGACGTGCCTCAGCTTGCAGTCCACCAGCTCTTCCACAGAAGGCTACACAGGCGTCAACCAGGCCCAACTCAATGCAGTAACCTCATTAACACCCCCTTCCTCTCCGGAGCTCAGCCGCCACCTTGTAAAAACCTCACAAACTCTCTCAGCAGTGGATGGCACTGTGACGTTGAAATTGGTGGCCAAGAAAACTTCACTCAGCTCTGTGAAAGTGGGTGTAGCAACAGCAACCGCGGGGACAATAAAAAGCGGGCAAAGTGACAGTGAACAAGGAGGTACAGGGGCAGAAGCATCCCCAGAAAACAAGAAGAGGGTTCATCGCTGTCAATTTAATGGGTGCCGGAAGGTTTATACAAAGAGTTCCCACTTAAAGGCTCACCAGAGGACTCATACAGGTACTTGTGTAGGATGCTTCTCTCATCTTGTCCTCCTGCCACGTAACCGTAACCATCTCCTTTTATTCTCATTTAGAAAAGAAAAAAAAAATCTCTTCTGAAAGTCCAAACTTCTATCTATGAAAGAGGGCAATGGAAAAATATGGTGGGCCAGCAAATGTATCCATTATTGAATAGAATGGAGGAGTTCACCATCTACCATTAACCCGTTGGGGTTTCATATGTCTTATGGGGCTTGATGCAGAATAATTTTAGGATACCTAAGGGATGTAGATGTATCACTCATATTAAAACTGGGGGCATGCCAGTTTGGGTTTTGGGCACTCAGTTCCTCAAGACAACTTTAAAAATATTAATTTTAGTCAAGTGTTACTTGCTTCAAGTAGAAAATAGGATGGGTGGGGTTTTGTTGCCTTTTGTGGTGGGGAAAGAGAAAAATATGTTTCAGATCTGAGATACACAGTTTAGGGATAATGCGTGCATGAGAGAGCACGTGTGTAGATGCAGGTGTGTAGGTGCAGATGTTTAGGTACATAGATGCACATACCCTTAAGATACTCATGATCTTGGACCTCTGATGGTAAAATACAGTGAGAACAAATGAAAGAACAACATAAGTTTGAATGGAGTAGTATAGGTAGAGAGGGAATAGGATGCATTCTGATATAGGAAGATGTCAGGCTGTTATTGTGGGTAATATTTACTAATGTTGCATATAAGCTCCACTGCATAAGCTTCTTGAAGCATACCAAATGGGCTTAGGTTTGGCTGTTGAGGATCCCCACGCTCCTGTCAGTTGTTCACAGTCCCCAGTAGCGTTTGGGCTGGCATTCATTGGCGGTAATAGCTGTGCAGTTCGCTCGCGTTGCTGCTTTGTTCTAAGCTTCGCATGTGATGAGAGATGATAAATTCCCATTAGCACTGCCTTATCATGTGATTATTCTTGTTTCCAGAGGGATTGCTGTAATCAGTTTTCCCAATTTTACTGTAAAATGTGTGGTCTCTTACGATAACTGCACATTTAATTCACGATGTTATCATGCAGGCAGATTCCTAGAAACGAGGTTGTTCTTGCAAGGTAGAAAATAACATGTTGGACCGGTGCAGTAAATCAAACAAATGTGCAGATTGGTAAGAGAGCTGCATCCATCAAATACTAGGCAGCCCCGTAAAAGTTACACGGTCTGAAGTATAAATCATATTAAGACATAAAAGGCATTGGTTTTGATCTTTTTATATGGGCTTTCTAGTGCTTTTACTGGGGATAGCCACCTTGCCAGGAGTGACCTCACTTGTGATCCAGTGATTTGAAAGCCAGTGAAAGTGGCGCAGTCATTTTAAAATCACAGCAATGTGGTCAGGAGGCTCCTTGTAGTGCTGCTGCTGCTGTGTGGCTGGCCCCTGCTGGGGCTGTGCAGGGGCATGTCCCAGCCAAGGTGGTGGGTGGCAGGGCAGCTGGTGGCAGGGCTCCTATGAAGGCAGAAATGCAGAGCATGAGGGCTGTTGATGCAGTGGTCTCATCTGTTCAGATGTGACCTCTGCATTCCTCCTTGACCTGGAAGTGGTGGGTCTTGTATGGCCCTTCCTGAAGGTAGTCAGGGATGTGCCACAATCATCTGGAAAGTGTGAGTAAACTTGTGGAGTTTTTCTGGTTTTGTCACCCAGCAGGTGGGTATGTGGACAAGGAGTCCTGAAAGCGCACTTGCAAAAACCACTACTCTTTCAATAACTTCACCCTTTAGAGTCAAAATCTTGCAGGATTTTGCATGCTTTTGAACCCAGCCTTAGGTCTGGTTGAATTTTGTATCTGAGGTAAAAACCTTTCCCCTTGTAACATCAGTGTGTGAAATCTTACGTTTTACAATTATTCCACGACAAGAAATATTTCTCACTGGCCTTGTGATACTTCTGTTGAATGGCCTTAGCCTGTGCATAGTGCCACTGATGGTGTGTGTCTGCCCATCCACAGCGGTGCTCAACATCTTGAGAAAGGCAAGTCCACCTTTGCTGGCAGATGGGGAAGACCTGTATCAGATGGTGACATTGCAGCTGCTGGAGTGCAGTGCCCACAACTCCCACTCCCAGCACCTCACCTAGTGGGTACAGCTACCCCTCTGATCTTGCCAGTTAAACCATTAGTGGTTTAGCCAGCCACTAAACCATCTACTAGTTTATGGGAGTGTCCCTGTTTCCATCCACCAAGTCCTAAGCAGATAGCATAGGTTGTTAGGAAAACAGGAAGGCAAAAGATAAGAGGGAATAAAACCTGAATGAGGAACTCTCCTGTCTTTGCTGCCATATAACCACCCTCTACCCGACCACATCCTAGCTGTGCATAGCTGTGTAGAAAGCATGGTTTCATTTTGCAATGAGGAGTGGATGCACCCTTGTTGTTAAAATACAGCTTTGATGCAGAACCTGGGAGCAGGTAGGCACCTGGCTCCCATTTTTCTCCATAGAAAGCAGATTGTCTAAATACCTTTGAACATTTACATCTTGTGAGCAATCTGAGTGAATTGAGGAGAAGGGTGTGATAGGCTTATCTTACTAGCTTACTTGAATCTGTAGCACAAAGTGTTTCCCACCTCTTCTTCCTGCTTAGGTTCTCTGTTCCCTTAAAAATCACTGACCATTGGATGTCTTAAATCAGAGCTGGTATAATCAAGACATTAAATCTGTTCACACTGACCTCTGGAGGGGGGTTTCCCCGCAGGGAGCTCCTGCCTCTGGTAAAAGAGAGGGAAAGAGAGGAATAGCTATGGAAATTTGGGACTGAATTATAAATGGCAGGGTTGCCTCCTTTCCCATGAACACCTTCAGGTCTAGGAACAAGGAGTCCTTTTCTCCATCGGTGCTTTGTTTTTTTCATGCCATGAGCTGAGAGTGCTGTGGGTTGCAAATGCACCCAGCAGCGCCAATGGCTAGTAGCCACTTGGCTTAGTCAGTGGCTGAGCCAGAGGGTCTGAAATGATTGCGAGTTATTTTCCTTTGGCTGGTAGCTTGTTAGTATGTCATGCAAGAACAGCCTGCCAGTGTGGGCTCTGTGTGAAAGGGTGTGAGCGCCCTGACAGACAAAGAGCTCTCAGTGTGGGGTTCACAGGCAGGGAGGCAGATGCAGCCTGGTCACCCAACTTGCACGTGCGAAGTCCACTTGCTGGATCAAAGGGATTTAGTGCAGTGCGTGAAAACAAGAACACCATGGGCTGGGGAGCTGGGGGGTGGAAGGCGACGGAAGGAGGTTGCATTCCTTTCGTTCATATGTAAGGCTGACCAGACCAGACACTGGCTGGCGTTCCTCACTGCTGTGTGATGAGCCAGGCTGGGCTGGAGGCAATATAGACTGATAGCAGCTTGCTAGATTGCAGCCAGTCTTCTCTTAGGGCTTTACTTTGCCGATTGAGCCCAGAGACAGTCAGCCCCCACATTGTACTTGGTGCTGTGCAAGCTTCTCCTGTTACTCTCCTGCATCTCATCTCTAGGAGAATCAGGGCAGCACTGTAAGGCCCATCAATGGTTGAACTGGTTATGAAACCACCTTCTGGATGACCTTTGGAGAGGGAAAAACAATCATCTGTGTGGGAGAGAATTTAATCTGGAAGGGAATGGGAAAAACATTGTCTGGATGGAAAGGGAAATGAAAATATTTGACTGAATTCAAAGTAAGCTGGGGCATCTAAAGCAAAGGGTGTGTAAAGGAGCTAAGAACAGTGGTGGGACTGACTGTCAGAGGGCAGCAAAGAAGCCATTCAGGGGAGAAATAGCGGCTGGAACTGTGAACAGGAGGAAAAGGTGAGCTGTAGGTTTGGAAAGACCATGGTACCAATGAGGTAAAAATGTCTAAAGAAAGAGCCACCAAGACTGGCATGGTAATCCAGCCCTAGCACATTCTCTCACACTTATTCATGGAACAGACATCAATGCAAACAATGACATTTTGTCTCTTTTGAGAGACAGAAATTTTCATCCAGCCTTCACATGTGTATAGAGATGAATCGCCAATGTAATGGACAGTGGAAAGAGAAGGGATTAGAAAGAGCCAAAATCCATGTATAGTCATCAGTACCTCCCAAATTAGGAAACAGGATATTGCTGGTGAGTGTCTGGATGCAAAACAGTCTAAGGGTGAGCTGGCCTGTGACCTATGGAAAGATTAATCATGGGATGTCACTGCATCTCCCAGATCAGAGACCTCTGGAGGAGATTTTTATCTTCTGACAAAGCCATTCACATCAGCCTTCCTTGCAGTAACATACAGGGGAAGGTATGAGATGGCGTGGGTGCTTTCTGGCTAGAGATAAAGCATCAGATATAAACTGACCAGGAAATCCTTAAGATTGCGATGGTGATAAAAAATGACCCGTAGGGGTTTCTGCTGGGGTTTGCATTTTATGAGTATCAGAAGGTTTTGGATTTTTTTTCTTTATCCATCTAAAACCAGGATCGGATACAACCTAAGCTCATGTCTGAGAAACAGCAGTTGGGCACCTCACATCTATATTTAGTTTTCTAAAGCCTAAAACAAGTGAGAAATACCAGTGTAAATATATGTTACAAGTCTACATGCAATCTTAAGATAGCACTTATTTAATAAGTGGAGTTTGTTTCACATTGTCAGGACATCTTCTTTTAAATTACATAGTTCTTTGATCCAAAGTGCTGGGTGAGAGTAACTAAAACAAACAAATCCACCCTGCAGGAAAACAAATTACTACATTTGCAAGAAAAAGATGAGAGACACAAGTATTAGAAAGAGCATTAATGAACACGGAGGTTTTTAAAACAACAGAGAAAAGCTTTCCCAAAGTGTTGGAGATAGAAAAGGAAACATCCAGAATTTGGAAACTATCAGAAAAGACCAAACTGAGGAGAGTAGGCTGGATGATGTGTAAGGAAGATTAATACAAAATAAAGGAATAACAGGCTATCTGTGTCAGTGATATCACATGAATAGCAAGCTGCATTGCTGTATTGTATTTGTGCAGTAGCACCTGTGAACAGAA